TCAACTCCCTTGCCCCATTCTCACTCTAAAAAACTCTCTTGGCAGAACCACATCAGTTAAATCCTGCCTGCGCCAGGCTTGCACCCTTACAGGGAATGTGGCTGGAGGAACACATGACCATCATGCATCCTCGAGGACTACAATTTCCTTCTTCCCATTTTCTCTTCAATCCACACCAGAGACCCACTCCACCACCATCGCACAGCTGCTCCTGTCAACGGTACTACTGATGTCCCCACTGCAAATCCAGCATCAGCTCAGTCCTATGGTACCTGCTCTACCAGCAGCCCTGGCATAGCTGATCACTCCGTCTCACACCACTGCCTCTACTCTCAATGGTGGGGCAGCTAGCACTCAGACAGCGGTCACTTCTTCTGCACCTGCACCCACGTCCCTCAGCAGTGCCACTCACTCGTGCATGAAATAACGCTGATGTGCCACCCGCCCCCGAACTTTCCTATCTTTATTTAGCCCAGTTATAGTCAGCTCCCTTCCTGACTCTGCCGCTTCGCTGTCATAGATACCTGAGATTAGCATGTTCAGAACCAAACTCATCCCACCCCAGACCTGCTCCACCTGCAGTGTTCCCCACTTGCATTTATGGCTCTTCCATTCTCCTAACTGCTCAGATCAAAATCTTCAGAATCATCAGTGGTGCCTCTCTCTCTCACACTCCACATCTAATAGGTCACAAAATCCCAATCTCTATCTTTAAAACATACACAGAATCCAATCACCACACTCGGCCAGCTGCAGTCCTACCTCGCCTGCATTAGTGCAACAACCTCCTACCTAGTTTCCTTGCTTTCTCCTTTGCCATCCTCCATCCCCTCAACTCTTCCTCAACATGGCCCTGGTGATCAGGGAACTGGCATCAGATGCCAACCTTCTGTCTGGTCACTGTTACTATCCTGGGTAATAAAGTCCTTTATCTCTGACCCAGGAGTTTCATGTCTTCTGGAAGCAACCATGAAACTGTTTCTGGCTAACCTGACAGCTTGTGAGTATGGTCAAATCTCCAAAAAAAACTCTTTACTAAATAACTGAAATACAGTAAATGTAATGGAATTGTTTTGACTTTTTTTAAAGCCTCTAGATCTCAGCACAATAAGCTTTATTTTAAAAAGCAGTATGGATGTTTTCATGGCTGCAAAGGTGGGTAAAGATATTTAAAGATAACCACGTTAAGAAAAATGGACTTAAAGTTACCATTAACTTAAAATTAAGAATGAATTTATAATTACAGCAAAAGTGCTAATAAATTTTCAAGTAATTCAACTCCACTTTGTGGGCTATGTACAAAAATATAAGGTAGCACTGAGTTTGCTGTGTGACACTGAGTGAACCTCCAGAGTCTCAGATTTCCCACATAAAATAAAGAGGCTGATCTCTAAAACATGTCAAGCTCTAAAATTATCTGATTCAATGAAAATTAAAATATGCAGACTCAAAAATTTACCCTGTAGAGAACTTTCAGGTGAGCACTTCTAAATTATCTTCTCTTATAACTATGTTCAATACATTCCTATCAAACTGAATAGAAAGCAAATGTTCATAAATTCAATCATTTAAACTCTTAATGGAGCTGATTTATAAGACTGATTAATGAAATAACCTCACTCCCCAATTTTTTTAATTCGGATTTTAACATGCTGGATTTAGAAAGTAGTACACCTATATACCAATTCATCACTGTCCTTACACACAGACATAGTAATTTTTTAAATGTACACATTTTTATACTTTTCCAGGCACTTACCAATGTTTTAGCTAAAAACATTGCAAATTTCTTAAACAATCTCACCACTTTCACTGCCTTTGAGGAAGTATTAAACTATTGGTTAAACTACCAAGTAGGTAAGATCCTTTAAGAATTTTGACAAAGTACTGACAATTAAGTAGGGCCCAAATATCTGCTTGTTATTTACTTTTATTCTGGGGCAGGGGTGTTGTACCAAATAGTATAATGATGAAATTTCTTCATTACTTTTCATTTTCAAAATATACTTTCTTACACATAAAATCTCTCAAATATATTAAACTACTAAAGCAAAAATTTTTAACTTCTAAATGCAACACACACATAAAAATAAGTGAAAAGTAAAGCAATTGCTTTGACTGCTTCTAGCCTTTAGGTCTTAACACAAAAGTTCCAATTTAAAAAGCAATTTGTAAATTGTGTGTTCAAATGCTTTTGCATAGAACATATAAGAGTTTTTCATTTAATTTGTGTTAGAGAATAAGAGCCTTTAGTTAAAATAATCTTTTCCTCATTTTTATATAAGTATATCCAAATAAGGAATATCAGATTTGGGATACAAAAAGTAATCCACAAAAGATTTATTAAATGTATATTAAGAGCGAATGTAAATCTCATTCATTGATAATCAGAGATAAAGGGGGTCCTGCAGAGCAATAATTATTCAAATGACTGATCAGCCCTATTAAGCAAATATAAGAATCTTACAAAATGGAAAAGGTTATACCCATTGTAAAATGATGCTTAACTGTCAAAAGTAATCACTTATTATAGGCTGCCAAAGAGGGGAATCTCTTGATGCTTTTAAAATGATCCAACTTAAAATAATTCATGTTACCCACCACAGATCAGCAGGCACTTCATAAACTAAGTTATATGATAAAGTTCAGTGACATAAGTATGGCTTCATGACAGCATTAACTGAAAACATACTGGAAATATTTAAAGAAAAACGAGATTTGGGTTTCCCCCAAAATAAAAGACTTTGATATTCACTGATGCTAGCAAAACAAACAAAAAGTATTAAAAGAACAAACAATTCTGGATGAGCCGCTGATGAAATATATGTTTATCTCCACTATCCAAAGAAAAAAAAATAATAATACAAGGACAATGAAAACTGGAAAGCAAATGACAACAGTGTTAACCAGCTTAGACAAACTCAAGAAAGCTGAAATCTAAGCCTGTTAGAAGAGAAGGCAACAATAACAAAAAAAGGCTAAGAAAAAATATCACAAATTTGAAACGTCAGATGTCCTTTATTAAAAAGTGGGAGTAGAACAGTTAGAAAGCAAAATCTCTTACAGCCAAAATAAAAATTCAATAGACGGGAAACTGAGAAAATTCCCCCAGCCCAAAAAGAGAAGCAAAAAATAAACTGACTTAAAACTTTGAGAAAAAGCTAAAAAAAATAACACATCAATCCAGGAGGCCCAACAACCAAAAAAGAAGAGCTTCAGTAAGGAAAAGAAAGTAAATTAAGGGGAAAAACTTAAAAAGAAAATTTAAAATTTTTCCCAGAACTGAAGAATACAAGTTTACACATTAAAAGGATCCCAAAAAATAAAAAATAATAATAATCAGGCACATCATGGTGAAATTTTAAAATTTAGGAGACAATAAGAAGATACTATAGAAGATACTTCTAGAAAGAGAAGAAAATGCACAGAAATGACTGGGAAGAGATGGCAACTGAAGCAGCGGTATCACTGAAAGCTGGAAGTCAGGGGAGCCATGTGAGAACTCCATGAGGAACTGTGCTTTCAGCAGGCACACACTTACAGTCAGCACCTCTTCGCGAGTGCTTTCATTTCCTCCGCAACCCTGCAGGGCCATATGACTGGTTGTGGCCAAAGGACTGTGAGCAAAAGTGATATGCGTCACTTCTGGACCAAATATTTGAGTAGCAGCTCGTGACCTGTCAGCTCTCTTCTGTATCTGCTGTGGGAACCCAGAGCCACGGGGTGATATGATGGGGAACTGCGGGAGATGCCAGAGGAACCCCAGGCCCACAGCACACTTGGTGAAAGTAAGAAAGAAACATTTCTGAGATTTCAGAGTCAACGTGCCACTGCAGCCTAACCTATTCTGCACTGACTAAAATAGTAACCTGGAATTCTATACATGGCCAGAGCATAAATCAGGTATTTAAATATTTAGAACATAGGACATCTCCTGACATGCAAGGTCTCAAACACACATCCACACACGTTCCCCTATCACCTTTCTAGGAAGTGACTAGGAGGATGAGCTCCATCAAATCAAGAAAGTAAACCAAGAAACAGCAAACACGTAAGCCCACTCAGGAGAGGGGAGAAAAGAATCTCTAGGTCGATGGTATAGCTCCTCCTGGTCAGCCTGTTTGAGATCCTGTTCTGCCATCTAAAGCTCTTCCCAAATATCCTCCAAGAGTCAGCTCAACTGTGATATCCTCCATGGAAGACACAAATCCAAATTCCCTGGCTACTAGAAGTGAAGGAAAACATCTTGCGTCAATGGCAAGAAGAGCTGCATTCTGAAATCTGTCTGTGATGTGGTATGTGACTCTGGGCACATTATGTAACCACTCTTAGTCTCAGTTTCTTCATCATCTGTGTAAGGATGAAGTTGGTCAACTTTCAGAAGGTTCCTTCCAATTCTAAAAGGCAGTAATTCTTCAAATGTACAAAACCATGAAAATCCAAATACAATTCTGTTTGGTATATGCTTATATACTGTGACAGTCTGAGATATTTGGTAATAATGTTATTCCCTAGATATATATTTTTTAAATTTAAAAGTAATGTCAATAGACAAAAATGACTGTTGTCAAAGGGATGATGATATTTCTTTTAAAACCAAAACTCAATTTTAATAGCAACACCTTCATTATTATAAACATCAAAACAAAAGAAAAATCATAAAGTAACAAGTCTACCAGTAAGACTTCATCTTACTTTAAAAATGTATTAACCCTGCTGCTTCCAACATCCAGTGTGTTACTTGTGTGGCCAGAATAATGTCTATCACTGCAAGTACAACCATAAGCAGCACCAAATATCAGGCCATCTATAGTGCTTGCTGAATACACCTTTCTAAATAGTTCTAAAGAGTAACACTAAACTCTTAAAATTGTTTTTGATAGAAATCTAATTGGAGCCATATATTCCTCTGCCTTCTTAAAAGAGCTACTTGAAACACAAATGTGTACATTAAATAAAATCTCATGTTGTATATAGACAGATGACATGACCAAATTTACCTGCTGGAAGATTTCAGGATGGCATCGTGACACCTTCAAGGTTTACTGATGCTCAGACAACTGGTCGTCTCCCAGGCCTTCAGAGAGATGCCGTCTCTTCTTTTCTTCTTCTCTACTATTCAAGAGTCTCCTCCCAGGGACAATGGGATAGCCACCGCTCCCCAAACATAGTCTCCAAGTGTGACGCCCTTTTAATAATTTTAAGAAAATATTTCAGTGTGATGGCTGTTAAGAGTGATAAAACAACATTAAGAGAAACACTAGGGAAACAAGAGCCAGGGGACCTGGCAGAAGGCCACACGTGGTGCCTTTTTTGTTCTAGATCGCCCACCAACTGACTGCAATGACCCCGTGCCAGTTAACCCAAGCGCTGCTCACATGTAACCATTTGTAATCCTCACAACTCTAACAGAGGCACTGTTAACACTCTGCAGACTCCCATTCTCCTTCCTGTTTTATTTCCATTTTTCTTGTCTCTTTGGTCTCACAGGGCTTCCTCAACAAGTAAATCCAAGTCTTGCAGATGTTGCTGACTAGCCAGAATACTCCTTTTCACTAATCATGGTACATTTTAAACTGATTATTACTGTTAGTACTTGCTACATTACAGGCACTGAGCTTATACATTTACATGCAGTATTTAATTTTCACACCAATGTTGAGAAGACACCATTATTATTTTACAGATAAGGCAGATAGGACAGCCGCAGTGCTGAAATCCAAACCCGTGTGTGCAACCCTCTGAAAGACGGCCTTCACCAGCTGCAATCGGCCACTTAGGTATCTGGCTTGTCTAATTCCCAATGAGTTCTTCCTTCCTGCTTAAATCTGCCATCAGATAATTGAGGATGCCAGAGGTTCCAGACAACTGATGTTTTACCTACCAAGCTCTACAAGCCAACATCAAGGAAACGTGCTCTGGGGTGGTTACCCTCCACACGCTGGAGAGAACTGACGTGAAGAAGGTCTGTGTATCTTCACAAGCAGCTAGTTGGGTGTGTAAGTGAGTTCAGACACACACCACAGCTCTACAAGTAGGGGCAGTCCTCCCCGTGGGGGGGTATTCAGGCCACGTAGTTACAGGAACTTTGGCCTCATCAGGGCTATGATTTATTCAGCTGAGCAGACCAGCTCAGATAGGCTAAATAAGCAACATAAAAAAACCAACAGATATTTAAGATCCACACAGCCCATCTTTGCCTTTAATCTATAGAAAACGTAAAAACTGCAGGTGCTTTCTGTACACCGCATCCCTACTCAGTGGCCAGGCCTCATGAGATGTGTAGGGAGACAAAGGGAAAGGACCACAGACCACACTCTCCACAAGGGACTTAGCAACATGTTGTAACACAAACATACGACTGGATCAAATGAAATGACTAAAGGAGCCATTAGGATGGGCAGTCAGGGAAGGCCTCTCGGAGGTGGCGACCCTGGCATTAAGATCTGAGAATGGACCAACCATGGCAGGAGCCACCAAATGGCAAACAGAACCACCATGTCAAAGATGAGGAAGCCAGAAGCAGCTTGGAAAGTTGAGGAACAGAAAGGAGAGAGAACAACTCTGTGCTAAAGCAGAGAGGACTGTTCAAGATGAGCTGAGGAACCAGGCAGAAATGTAGCTGATGGTAAAGTCTGGAC